CGCTTGTCTCACTTGGGGATGACGCGCCTTTCAGTCGTGCTTGTGGATTGAGCACTTGAGGCTGGACACGAATGAGTTCAGCAAGCTGAACGGCTTCCTGCACCTTAGCCGCAGACATTTTGTGGAATCAGCTGGGCACTCCTGCGACATTTGTCAAGCAACCCTTCATAGCGTGCAAGATCTGCGCTCCGAGTCGCACATGGGCGGGGCCCTTTTTGCGGGACCATGGCAGCGGGTGTGCTTTGTTCCAACCGTCCTGACTGACTCCTGAAGCGCCGGAACCCCAGAATGAAAGGAAGCCCTAATGTACCACAACCGAGAAGAATGCGCTTGTTTCACAGTGTTGGTGCCTGGGAAAGGCCAGCAAATCACACCACCACCACCACCGCCGCCGCCACCACCACCACCACGAGCACCACCACCAGCACCACCACCACCACCACCTCCACCGCCACCACCACCTCCTCCACCACCACCACCACCATCACCACGACCACCACCCGTTTCGTTTGTATTTGTAGGGTCACGAGGAAGCCGCCCAAGTTCGACGTTCCTGCTTTGTAGTGGTATTCATGCATCGCTGCCGCATGCCGATCTGAGGAAAGCCATCGTGGGTTTGCTGCTCGGCTTCTTCCTGACCTCCTCGGTCAACCGTTGGCAGCTTGGCCAAAGAGGCTCTCAGTGCTGAAACCAGCCCAAGCTTTTGCTCAGGATGCTCCACTGGTTTCAGTTTGGTGTTTGCAATTGTCCAGTGGAATCCATTATATTCAGGCCAGAGGACACCTGTGGCCTATGGGTGAGTTTTTGTGAGGGTATCACAGCATCTTTTTTGGGGTGTGGCGGTTAGAAGGGAATTTTGACACAGGCCCGCTCAGGCGGGTCGGTCTCTGGCCAGGTATGCTTGCACCAAAGGCTTCCTGGAGCTGTTCAATGCGATCCGCGCACTGCACATGCAGCTTGCAGCTTTGGGCGCCTCGGCCAGGGTATCGAAGTCTTAAACAAACGATTTCAAAAGCAAACATGCACGAACAAACACACAAACACACACACAGACACCCACCCGCGCACATCCTTCCCTTCTTTGCTTCCTTTCTTCCCTCCTCTCTTCTTCCCTTCTTCCTTCCTCCTTCCCTCCCTTCCTTCCTTGTTCCCTTCTTCCCTTCCTCCCTTCCTCCCTGCTTCCCTTTTTCCTTTGTGTATTTTAGCCTTTTGTATTCCGCAATACTTGTAGAGTCAGACCAGTATTTCGGTGGTCCAGAATGCCTGTTGTCTACCTCAGTCACCCGGCACGATCCATCTTGAGAAGCTGCTGGGCCAGGAATCTCAGGACAAGCAGAGTTCCTTTTGAGAAGCCATCGGCAAACGTGGCCGTCTTCGCGAATGAACCCCTTGGATGTGAAATGGCTGCAAGCCGATGACAACGACAGATCAAAGCGCAGTCAGTCGCAGAAAACCAGGACGGAGAGTGAAAGCTGACACAGCTCACGCCTAGGCGTACAAACCACACTGCTGTCAAATTCCAAGAGACAAAGCGCAGCCTTGTGAAACCTCTCGTGGCAAGCCTGGCTTGAATTCAACCTACTAGTAGGCTGCAGGTGTAAAACGCCGTAAAACCACCCTTTGGCTTAGCCAACCTTCCTGCATGCATCAAATCGTGGAGTCCCGCCACTGTCTTTAGTCACATTTTATGCTTGAAGAGGAGCCTTTGAGATTAGCACATTGTTGCCATCATTCACGCCTGCGGTTGCGTGCTCAGGCCAGCTCCCAACCGAAAGCCCTGGGCATATGGATTTTCATTTGTACATTTCCTGTTTTGCGGAGCTGACAGGACATTTTGTTTATATTCTCTTACTTGACCAGGGAGCGGTGAGACACGGATGGCCATCCAAAAGTTGCTATCAATGTCGACGCCGGATAAATCAACCTGCTGGATCGAAAGCGAAGGATTCCCTGTTGAAAGAGACGCCCTTTAATAATGCACCCTCAGGGCTTCTTAATGCTGGGTTCCCAGTATGATGCATCCTTTCTCGACTTCTTTGCCCATCGCTTCTGAGCAAATGAAACTCGGTACGTGGCTTGGTATCTCCTGAGATCGACTGGAGATTGCCGGGATTGAAATGAGCCATGTGATCCTGAATTTTGATGATTGGAGCACCTTCAAACATGGAAGTGCCATAAACTCGACCATGACTTTTCCCAAACCCTAAAGTCCAAAAGCCCAAACCCCAAACCCTAAATCGACCATGTATGGCTAAACGGGCCATGTGTCCCACATGGTGAACATCGCCGCTCGATGCCCTGGGCATTTTTTTAACCGGTGCAGGGACACCACGAGTGCGCACCCACATGTGCATGCGCTACTGCGTCCTCTCAGCTCACAGTCGGCGCCTTAAAGCCAGACTGCGAATCGAAAGCTCCTACCTGTGAGACTGCAAGTGAATGGATGGCATTTCAGGAAGCAGGGCTACGAGAAAGATAAACTTGTTTTTGAGGCTCACTT